ATCTTTCATCTTCTGGTTTGCTCCCCAAATGCCCACAACAGCCAGGGCTTGACCAGGCCGCAGTCAGGAGCTTCAAACTCAATCCAGATCTACATGTGTGGTAGTGACCCAACTACTTGAGCCACCACTTTCTGCCTCCCAGAATGTACATTAACAGGAAGTTGGAATCAAGACAGAGCCAGGACTCCACCCCAGGCCCTCTGATATGGGATGTAGGCATCCTAAGCAGTGTCTTAACCATTGTGCCGAACACCCATCCCTCATGGACATTGCTGGATACAGTCGTAGTCCTTTCAGCTTTATTACTATTGCATGAATATATTTTATTTATCCATTCCACCACTGATGGATATTGAGTTACTTCCTATTTTGAGTTATTAAAAATAACATTGCTTGGAATATTCTAGTTCAAATTTATCATGTCCAATGCATGTCTGTTGCATACATAACTAAGTCATGTGCCTTTTAATTTTTTGTTGTTGTTTGAAAGGTAGAGACACAAGACCGCTCCCATTCACTGATTCACTTCTAAAATGCCTGCAACAGCTGGGGTTGGGCCAAGCTGAGCCCAGGAGCTGGGAACTCAAATCTGGGTCTCGCACATGGGTGGCAGGAACCCAAGTACCTAAGCCATCATCTACAGCCTGCCCAGGTGTGTATTAGCAGGAAGCTGGAATCAGAAGTGGAACCAGGATTCCACACGGGACGCAGGCATCCCAGGGAGCATTGTAAGCACTGTGCCAGATCCTCATACTTTAGTTTGTTTGTTTAAGGAGCATATGGTGACATGGTTTTGTAACCTTCCTTATCCGGTTACTATTCTCAAACATCTTTCCATACCAGTAAGTATCCTTTGATAACCACTTTTGACAGCTACACAGTAGCCATTAGGGCATCAGCCTAGCTTGAATCTAGCGAGCGGAAAGAGAAGTGCAGATGAGACCAGTGAAGAAAGCTGGGGCTGGACTGTGGAGGCCACAGCAGGTCACGGGATTTTATTCCATGCATAGTGGGAAACCACTGGAGGGTGCTCCACCAGGAGTGGCATGGTCTGATTTGAGATTTTCAAAGCTCCCTCTGGCTGTGCTGTGGGGAATGAGTTCTAGGGATATCTTTTTCTCTCCAGAAGGTCAAGAGTGATAACAGAGGAAGCTCCGAGTAGGCAAATTTTTACACAGCCCTTTAGTAATTTCCAAGTGAAATGGCTGAGTCAAAGCTTAAAAGTTTGTTGATTATTTCATTATTCACCAGAAGCAATGTTGCTACCAGGGTTACTGTGAGGCTCAGGCCATAACATTGCTACGGAGAGAAGAAACTGCACCCAGACAAGGCGGTGAGCAAAGCAAGATTTATTTTCGTCAGGCACCTCCGGCCGCAGCAGCCAGGACGGGACTCCAAGAGAGGCCAACCCGAGAAGCTGTGATGGTCAAGTCTTTTAGGCACAATTTTTGGGGCAGAGAGGGAACAGGACAGCAGCTAATAATCCACCAGAGGGTGGGGACAAAACCCAGAAAGGCCAGGATCCTAATCCTGTCTCAGGATAAGACAAAAAACTGTCAGAAGGGCGGGACGGTCTTTCTGGTTTCACCACACACTGAAAACTCAGCAGGGTGGCCTCCCTACTTGCTCACTATTCTCAAGGTAAAACCAGAAACTCCGAGGAGTGGGCTCAGCACTTTCATCTTGCTAAAGGCAGGTTTTGGGGAGCAGCAAGCATTTTGTACCCTTTCCTCATTGGGACCATCGGTTCTCCTCTACAGCGCTGCCCACGCTGACCCCTTCCTTGCTCCTCTGCCCGCCTCCCCCTCTGTCGTGGGCCTTTCTTCCCAGCCTCTTTGTACTGCAGAACATCTCCCCCATTCCACCCAAGGAATTTCTACCCCGATGTTCTCACTGGGAGTTTGTCTTCACCCGCCTCGATCCCTGTTCTTGTGTCGCCCAGGCCCTGCCTGGTGGCGAGCTGTGCGTGTCTCCCTGGGCAGTCTTCGCAGATGTAACTGCAGCTGACGGGGTCGGCTCCCATGCTCCTGAGGGCAAGGAGCAAGAAATACAACACGTGCACCACTCCCTGCCTCCCTACACACACTCGTGAGCCCGACTCCTGCTTCTTCCACAACACTCAGCCCTCCTTTACCAAGCCATTCTCTGTTGGTGCTACAACTGTTTGTGACCCAGGGTTCTGGACCTTCTCAAAACTCTAACGATTAAATATTTTCCTTTTTAACTGACACATAACAATTGTACATCTTTATGGTGCACTGTGTGATGTTTTGCTGCACAGATACACTGCATAATGTTCAAATCAGGCCAATCATATCTACCCCCGCAAGCATGTTTCACTTTTTTTTTTTTTAGATTTATTTTATTTATTTGAAAGAGTTACAGTGTGAGGTAGAACCAGAGAGAGAGAGAGAGAGAGAGAGAGAGAGGTCTTCCACCCACTAGTTCACTCCCCAAATAACCACAATGGCCAGAGCTGTGCTGATCCGAAGCCAGGAGCTTCTTCCAGGACTCCCACATGGGTGCAGGGGCCCAAGGACTTGGGTCATCTTCTATTGCTTTCCCAGGCCATAGCAGAGAGCTGGATTGGAAAAGGAGCAACCGGGACTTGAACCAGCACCCATATGGGATGCTGGCACTGCAGGCCATGGCTTTAACCCATTGCACCACAGTGCCGGCCCCTCACTTCTTGATGGTGAAAACATTCACAAATTCCTTCTCTTAGCCTTTGTTTCAGAAAAACATACATTATTGACATCTAAGAGGCCCCACTCTGTGCAACAGAACATCGGAAGCTCTCCTGACTCTAACTTAGCACCCAGTAATCAGCCCTTCCCCGTCCCTCCCTGCCCCCTACTCCCCAGCCTCCTAACCACCACCTCAGCTTCTGTGAGTTCAGCTTGGTTGAATTCCAGAGAGATCACGGAGCATCTGTCTTTTTCTGTGCCTGGCTTATTTCTAGTTGCCCCCCCCCCTTTTTTTTTTTTTTTGATCTTTCTTGTTCTTAACATAAAGCCCAAATTTCTAAGCATGGCTTTAAATCTGCTTCCCGGCATCCCCGGGCCCTTTTACTCCAGGCAGAGGCATCTCTCCATTCCTCCGACCCTCCAGGTCCTACCCCAAGCCCGTCTCTGCCACCCCTTAGCCCTGGGTCAGCATCAGCCCTTCCCCCTCCCGCAGAGGGTTCCACTTCACTCTTCGGAGCTCAGCGCCGCCTTCCCACACCCCCCCTCGCACCCCCACAGCTGCAATCAAGTGACTCCAGGAGACATCTGCACACTGTGCGCCTGTCTCATCACGTTGTTCTCTAACTAGATCCCTTATAAAATGTAGAATTCGAGCTCTTCCAAGTGGCTGCATTTGGGGGCTTCTTGGGGAAGGACTGGAGTCCAGCGACACGTGAACACCTCCTGAGACAGGCACAGGCAAGAGAGAGGGGTAACAGGGCGTGCACTTCGGAGCCGTGCCCAGGATCTCCATTTACAAGCTACATATCCGCGGGCAGTCACTCCTTTTCCCCACTTGTAAAGCAGCGATAAAAATGCTTACTCTGCAATGGTGTTGGGAATTTTAGACATAGTTGCAGAATGCCTTGGCTCAGGAAGTGCCCAGTAAGTGAGAATCCTTACCATAGGCTTTATGCTACCAGCTCGCACACACAGGTAAAAAGCTGACATGCAAACGGGGTATACGGCCCCAGAAGGACCAGGAACGCTACCGCAGTCACTTTCAAATACCCAGGGCCCAATAGGGCCAAAGGGGGCCCGTCTGCGGATGCCCCAAACGTGCAGTCAGCATCCAAAAAAGGCTAAGCCCAGGGGGAAGGGGAAGGGGAAGGGGAAGGGGAAGGGGAAGGGGAAGGGGATGACTGGCTGAGTTGGACCAGAATTCAGCAGGCCCCACGGCAGGCTCACACACCTGCCCTTGGCAGACACCAGATCCGAATTTCTGGAACCTCGGCCAGCTTTGTCCTTTGTGATACCGCCACCTAGCGAGCGCTCGCGGACACTGCCGCCTACTCCCGGCGGCTGCCAGGTCCGCTGACCCACTGCAAGGTTTCAGCCACTTAGGCTTGGGTGGAGAAATGGGGGCTGCCCGGGCCTGCGCCTCCCTGTAACCGCTGGATTAACGAGTTTAGACTAGCGATGAGCTCCTTCCGTCCATCTTAGAGGAAGCCCCCTCACCACACTCGTCCAGACCCGTGGGGGTCTGAAAAGCTCAAAAGGTCAGCTACTGTCTGCCCCTCGCAGTCTCCTCGCAGCGACCCCCTGCGAGTGGCCAACGCGGGCGTGACCCGCATCAGAGCCGCCACTGTTTAGCTGAGGCAACAGGCTCGGCAGGAAGGCGGCTAACCCACGGTCACGCAGCCCATCAGCGACAGGACTGGTGCCAAACTCCAAGTCCCCCGGACCCCAGTCCCTGGCTGCTTCCCTGACCACACGCCCCTCGGGCTGGAGAGGGCAGGCCGTGGGGCCGAAGCTCGGGACGCTGCGTGGAAAACCGGCGTGGCTGCGCAAGACGAACATGCTGCCCACGCTAGCCCCGCACGTCTTTCTTCTCTGCCACCCGAACGCCCGGCACGCGCGCCTCGGCTCGGGGCGGAGGAAGAGGGGCCCAGCGCAGGAAACAGGGTCCCGCGCGGGTAGCCCCTGGGAGCACGCGGCGCCGGGTCACGTGAGAGGGGAGCGCCGGCGAAGGGCCGCCGCGTGCAGGCACGCACGGCATACGTAAGCACGCACGGGGTCGCTGGAAGCGGCGAGCCCGAAGCTCCGCGTCACATGTGCAGGGTGGCTGACGAGAACGAGGGGGCGGGAAAGTCGGGGCGATCACGTGGAGGAGGCCGGCGCAGGGAGGTCACGTGACGGGGGCCGGAGGCGGGGCCGCCGCGGAGGGGAGGAGGGGCGCGCGGCTTCCGGCGGCCGGGGGGGGGCCGCCCAGCGAGCGGAGGGGGGGGGGGCCCTGTCCCGGAGGTGGCGGCGGCGCCATCTTGGCGAAGGGGGGATCAGGAAGTGCGGACCGCGGCGGCGGCGGCGGCGGCGGCGGCGGCGGCGGCGGAGCCCGGAGCGGAGGCCGGAGGCTCCCGGCCCGCCGGCCCCGGAGCGGAGCGGAGCGGAGGATGCAGCAGCCGCAGCCGCAGGGGCAGCAGCAGCCGGGGCCGGGGCAGCAGCTGGGGGGCCAGGGGGCGGCGCCGGGGGCCGGGGGCGGCCCGGGAGGGGGGCCGGGGCCGGGGCCCTGCCTGAGGCGGGAGCTGAAGCTGCTCGAGTCCATCTTTCACCGCGGCCACGAGCGCTTCCGCATTGCCAGCGCCTGCCTGGACGAGCTGAGCTGCGAGTTCCTGCTGGCCGGGGCCGGAGGGGCCGGGGCCGCGGCCGCGCCCGGACCGCACCTCCCCTCCCGGGGGTCAGTGCCTGGGGATCCCGTCCGCATCCACTGCAACATCACGGTGAGGATCCTGTCGCGTGCGCCTCTCTGGGGGCCCCTCGGCAGGCACTCGGGATCACCACGTACAGCTCCTTGCCCTCGGAGGGCGCTCAGGCCGAAGCCCCGCGAGGCGCTTGGGTCCTCCTCTCCAGGTCACACTTGGTTTTCCCGCTTGAGGGTCTGCTGTGCACTTAGCATCTCTTCCGTTGACCCCGGATAGCAAGGGTCACCCCGACATATGGCACCTAGACTGCCCCTTTCCACGAACCCACCCGTACCCAAGCCTCGTGATGGTGGCTCCTTTGGCCACTTGTCCACAACTTTACCTTGCCACCAACGAATGCCCCTTTCTCCCGCGACTCCTGTGTCAAACTTCCAGACCCGCGCCCTGGCCGCAGCTGGAAGGCCCTGGTCTGGAAGTCGGTGTGTTTCAGTGCTGCCCTTTGGCAATAGTTCCCTTGACTTAGGTCGGTGCCACCTGTGGGAGCCCTGCGCAGGCGTCCGTCAGGCAGCCCCTCTTTGCTCTCAGAATTTCACCCAGTGAGTGTGCTGGGCGCTAGCTCCTTCTCCCCTTTGGATTCCCTTTTATTGTGGTGTAACCTCTAACTCTCCTCTTGTCGCCCCGGCTGGCCACAGGGCTGCCACTCACCTCCCAATTCCCTGTGGAGGTGGCCAGGAGCCCTAGGTTGTTGCTTTGCCTGGTGCCCGTGTGATCCAGTGAGCTGGGGTCTCCCCCATCTATTCCTAGCAGTGACAAGTGGTGTTTCTCCCTCGTGAGCATCATTCCCTACTAGGCCTCCATGTCTCCTGTCCCCTTGCCCCCAGACCTGGAGGAGCAGGGGTGGTGTCTGATGTGTGGGGAGTGTGTGGTTCCACATGGCACAGCACCTGCGGCGAGCGGCTGGTGTCACCTTCTCTGATGGTCTCCAAGCCCAGAGCAGTGGCTGGGGAGCTGGGGGATGGTACCCACTCAGCAGACTGTGCATAGACACACTGGAGACTTCTGTAGTGCTTGGGGCCTATGTGCCCCTTAAACGCTTCTGTATCCTCAGTCCGACCGGGTCAAGGTTGAGCGAGGCAAGCCTGGCTCAGGTTGCGAGGTGCCCCACCAAAACTCATGCTTGCCTTCCGTTTCTCTCTTCTTCCTCCCACCCAAGAGTTACCGTTGAAAGACTGAGGTTTGCTTAGGTGAACTTGGAGTCTTCCATAATGACTTTCCTTCCAGCGTTAAGGATGCTGGAGGCTTCCTTGGCCTGTGTGGGAACCTCCAGCTTTAACTTTGTACTTGGAGTAAGTGTCTACTTCCTCAAGGTCTACCCATCCAGCAGCCCTTTGGCGACCGGCTATTCTGCCTGGCAGGAAGTTCGTGTAGGGGGTCACCAGCCAGACTCCCTGCAGTTCCCATTAAGGAGACTTGGCCCGAACTGGCCCCCTTGGTTCGGGCAGAAGGGGAGTCTGGTGAGGCTGCATTTGGCACAGTGGCTCAGGAATGCTGGGAATGTCAGCGGCGTAGGCCTCTTTCTCGCAGGCCGCCATGTGGAGCCCCACAGCCCCCGGCTGGACTGAGAAGGTGGCAGGTTCCCAAGGCAGGGGGGACGCGGTCTTTGAGGCGGCTCTGTTGGGGGGGGGGGGGGCGATGGCTCCTGGCGCCTTTTTACTCCTGGGTTCTGCAGACCAGATCTAGTTCCCAGCTTCCTCTGTAGTGTGGTCTTCGCTCTGTTCACGCCGGTGTGACTGTGGTGCCGGGAGCCCTGCCTGCGTGCTCGTGGAGCCGGAGAGGCGGAAGGGCCGGGGCGGGTCCTCCCGCTCCAGAGGAAGGAGCAGAGGTTTCAGGTGTCTTCGTGGATGGGTCCTGCTGGGGGGCTGTGGTTGGGAAGCCACTGGGGGAGCCGCTGACCTGCCACGCTGAGTGGAGGTGAGGAAGCAGTGGCACTAGAGGCCTTGGGGGACAGAGGGCAGGCGGAAGCTGGCCTTTCCCGCAGTCGCCGTGTTGACCATTCTGCTCTTCCCCCCTCCCCCCCAGGAGTCGTACCCTGCTGTGCCCCCTATCTGGTCGGTGGAGTCTGATGACCCTAACTTGGCTGCTGTCCTGGAGAGGCTGGTGGACATAAAGAAAGGGAATACTCTGGTGAGGGGCCCGTGTCACAAAGGCACCCTGTGGAAGGGGGCTGGCGTTAGGAAGTGGGCGGAAGAGCAGCCTGAACATTTTGGGGGCAGGCTTCTTAGGGGAGTTGCTTACGGGAGCCGCAGGAAGATACCTGCTCCAGCCCCGGGACTCATTCCCACAGCCACGTGACCCGGAAGGTTTAGAGAGCCAGGTAGCCCCTGGGGTCGGAGCTGGCACTGAGGTCATTGGGTGATTCTGGCCCCTCGCCCCCAGCTGTTGCAGCATCTGAAGAGGATCATCTCCGACCTGTGTAAGCTCTACAACCTCCCGCAGCACCCCGATGTGGAGATGCTGGACCAGCCCTTGCCAGCAGAGCAGGTGAGCGGCGGGCGGGGCTCGGGGGGTGCACCGAGGCGGGTCTGCGGTAGTTCCTCGTCACCTCACACCCCCTCTCGCAAGCACACGTCCTGACTCTCCACCTCTTCTCCAGCCGAGAATCTAGCTAAGTGAGGCATCAGCAGCTCCTCTCTCCCAGCAGAGCGCGCCCTCCTGGGCAGTATTCCTCATGTTGAGAGGAAGGGAAGTTGTTACCATGATCCTAGCAATAGCAGTTGGTGGCCACTGGGGACCCAAACCCTTGTTCAGAGCCCAGAACGCAGTGTTAATCTGGAGACCATCAAGGAAGGGAGGGTGCTGAGGAGCCTTAGACGAGATGTGTGAGGTGGGTGAGAGGCCGCTGTTCTGCTTCCCTTCCCTTCCTTGGCTTATGGTAGGAGGAGCGTCCCGGGCTGGTGGTGAGACATTGCCTGGGCGCTGGTATCCGCCCAGATCTGACTGCTGGAGAGAGCAGCAGTGTTACGGGCAGGTGCGCAGCCTCCAGGCCTGGAGACCCGAGGAGTAGGCCAGAGGCTGTGACCCCACAAGCCACTGGGGCTCACATCTGCCTCTCTGCCCTCCCCTCTGCAGTGTACACAGGAAGATGTGTCTTCAGAAGATGAAGATGAGGAGATGCCGGAGGTAGGCTTGCCGCGTCTGTGTACAGAGCTCCAGTTCAGTGCAGAACTGGGGAGAGGAGTGAAGACAAGGCTTACTGATGAGAGAACAGCCAGTGTGGCAGAGCAGCCGGGCACCCCTCCCACGCTGGAGTCAGGTGCAGGTCTGTCGAAGCCAAGTAAACCTTTGGCAGGTTAAGTTCAGATGGCGTCCGAATCCCATGGAGCTGACCCAGGCTCATCTCACTGAGCTCCAGTTTATCTATAAAATGGGATGATAATGACTACTGTCGATGGTTTTCTTGAAGATTAAGTGAGGCACTGCACATTAAATGCTTCACGTGGTACACAGTAAAGGCTAAATTTATCTGATGTATTCTGCAAAACCATTTATGTTTGTAGAGAATTTAACATCATGGTGAAGAACTGGAGTTTCACTGCCAGACAGAAATTGATTCAAATCTTAGCTCTCTGAAGAGTTGTGTGACTTGGGGCATAATTAACCTTCCTGGACCTCCACTTACTCATCTGTCAGCTGGGGATAAGATGGAATAAGTTGTGGTGGCTGGAAGAATGAAATTGGCGAGTGCGTCGCCCCAGTATAGAACCTGACATAGGCGCTGCGTAGATGTTAGCTGCTGATGTGATAACTGGGTTGCCGTGTTCCACCAGAGGGAGGATCACTCTGGTCGCTTTGTTTCTTAATATGGGGTTAATGTCCCAGTTCTGAAACTTTGTAATGGTCTTAATACCAAGAGAGGGCTGGGGGCTGCTGATACTTGAAGCCTGCTGCTCGCAGTGGAGGGCCCTCCACACCATCCCCCCAGTGTCAGCGTGGGCTCCCCTGTGCACACGGAGCGAATCCTGCTGTGAACTCTCCCACCGCCCTCTCTGGATCCTTCTCATTTCCGCCTTGGCATACCTGATTCAGATCCTGTGCCATAGGCGGGGGAGACTGGAGCCTGAGAACTTTTTGGTTAATTCTTACATATCTGATTGAAATTAGTGAAGATTGATTTATTTGTAAGCAGAGTTACAGACAGACAAAGATCTTCCGTCTGTTGGTTCACTCTCCAAATGACTGCATCATTCAGTCCTGGGCCAGGCCAGAGCAGAAGCCTGCAACTCCATCAGGGTCCCCTGCGTGGGTGACAGAGGCCCAAGCACTTGGGCCATCTTTTGCTGCTTTTCCAGAAGCAGGAACAGGTGGCTGGATCAGAAGTGGAGCAGCCAGGACTGAACTCAGTGCTCCTGTGGGCTGCCCATGTCACAGGTGGCAGTTTGGCTGTGCCATCAACGCTGTCCCCTGAGAACTCGTGGGTCTAATGTCACCTGGTGAAACATGAGCTCTGAGTCACAGTCTCAGGCCAGAGTCAGTCTGCTGAGAATTAGGGAAGAACTTGTCCTGCCAAGGGAGAGCCGTCGGTGCAGCTGGAACAGGGTCAGTGTGGGGACCAGAGTTAGGGCCTCGGTCCTCGCTGGAGCTTCCCGTCACCCTGGGTCCTCACTGCAGCTCTGCTGTAGCTGCAGAACTCGGCAAGAGAAGACACGGGCCTCATTCTCAGACTGTGGAGCAAATGGGGCTGGGAGCTGTTCCAGAAACAGGAAGGGTGCTGTGTTGTCAGCCTTAGCTAGACGGGGAAGGTCATGGCCCTTATCTCCAACCTGTGTTGCTTTCTCGATCCCACTGCAGGACACAGAAGACCTAGATCACTATGAAATGAAAGAGGAAGAGCCTGCCGAGGGCAAGAAGTCAGAAGATGATGGCATTGGAAAAGAAAACTTAGCCATCCTAGAGAAAATTAAAAAGAACCAGAGGCAAGATTACTTAAATGTACGTGCCTTGTAGGGAGAGGCTGGGTGAAGGGCTTGGTGGGTAATGGCTGAGAAGTAGCCATTGCTTAGCAGTATGGGGTGCACTCCTATTTCGGGAGCGGCCAAACCTTCCCTAAGTGCAGGGCAGGCTAAGGTGCAGCATGTGTAGTTGCAAACCACATGACCACGAGCTTTTGTGACCCTCCCCGGCAGGGTGCGGTGTCTGGCTCGGTGCAGGCCACTGACCGGCTGATGAAGGAGCTCAGGGATATTTACCGATCACAGAGTTTCAAAGGTGGTGAGTGCCGCAGGAGGGTCTGGGCACACGCCGGGCACGGCGCTCTGAGCCAGTGGCTTGGATTGGCTGCACGTTCCTGTGGGGCGAACCTGCAGTCTCCGACCTCTGTGTGTCGGTCAGGGGTGGGAGCTGCTTTGGGGACCGCTCACTGCTTGGATCGTCACCTGACACCTGCCGTGTTCTTCCAGGAAACTATGCAGTCGAACTCGTGAATGACAGTCTGTATGATTGGAACGTCAAACTCCTCAAGTGAGTGGGGACTTGGGATCGTGAAGGGGGCTGAGGGAGAGTGTGGGGACCGTGGCAGGCCCTCCAGGGTGGTGCCATCCAGCACGTCACCCCTGGGCGCCCGGGCGGGTGCGGGCAGGGGTCGGTCTGCTGCTGGCGTCCGGCGGGGGTGCCTTTCCTGGGCCTCTTGGCCTGGAGCGGGGCCTGAGACCAGGTCGCTGCTTCACAGAGTTGACCAGGACAGCGCTTTGCACAACGACCTCCAGATCCTCAAAGAGAAAGAAGGAGCCGACTTTATCCTCCTCAACTTCTCCTTTAAAGTGAGACTCCACCCCCTCGCGGTCCCCTCCCCTGGCCCGGCTCCTGTCTGTGCTGTGTGGGCGGCCGCCGGCCTCTCCCCTGACTGCTGGCTCTCTCTCTCAGGATAACTTTCCCTTTGACCCACCGTTTGTCAGGGTTGTGTCTCCAGTCCTCTCCGGAGGGTGAGTGGTGGCTGGGCGAGGGGGAGCGGGCGGCGCCGGGGGCCGAGAGGGCCTTGGAGCTTTTTAAGGTCCAACTGACCAGGCTTTCTCCTGCAGGTACGTCCTGGGTGGAGGTGCCATCTGCATGGAACTCCTCACCAAACAGGTGAGCCTGTCTTGGCCAGACTCACCTGGGCGAGGCGAGGCTGGGCTCTACCTCACGTGCCCCTGAGAGTTGGGCAGTAGGCATAATGTGGCTCTTTCATTCCACCAGGCAGGGCGCCCCCACTGCCCGAGGCAGACAGGCAGTGACTGTACCGGGAGCGAAGGGCAGGCGCCCACCCAGGGCAGCAGCTGCTCGCCTGGAGAGCAGGCGTCTCTCCGGCAGCTCTGTCCTGACTCGTTTGTCCCTGCCGTCACCCAGGGCTGGAGCAGTGCCTACTCCATCGAGTCGGTGATCATGCAGATCAGTGCCACACTGGTGAAGGGGAAGGCACGCGTGCAGTTCGGAGCCAACAAAGTAAGGAGCCTGGCCTGGGGCTGGGGGGCCGCTGCAGCCAGGTGCGGCTCGGGCACTGCAGGCCAAGGCTGCCTTATTTGAGGGATCGAGCAGATAAGTTCCCTGGGCTGGGGCGTTGCCGAGAGGCCTCAGGTACCCACAGTGGGAGGCCCTCGGGGCAGCCTCCGATTTTGGGAGGGCACAGGCCTGGAAAGGGTAGGGTGTGGACTACATGGAGGGTGCGTAGTGGGTCACCAGAACAGTGCTGGGAGCTGGCACTCCTGGGTCTGTGGGTGGCAGCCTGTGGGAGGGGAGGGGCGGGTGTTCAGGCCACAGTGGCCACGGCCTGATCCGGGGCCTTCCTCTCCTCAGTCTCAATACAGTCTGACAAGAGCACAGCAGTCCTACAAGTCCTTGGTGCAGATCCATGAAAAAAACGGTGAGGCTGGCGCCAGCACTTGGGAGATCAGACACTCCGAGGCCCCTGGGTTTTCACTTGGGGCCCAATGGCAGGGACTCCGTCTGGTCTCTGAGCCTTGCCGTCCGTGGACACGGCACCTGCCCCAGCGCTCCAGGCAGGCTGGGGTGGCTCAGCTCGGCCCCTCCACTCCCAGAGAAGCACCCGGGGCTGGACCTCCACTAGACCCGCCCCTCTGATGACCACCCTCTGAGGAATGGCATCCTCCCTCCTGCTCAGCCTCCCAGCAGGCAGTCCGCATCCCCGTCCCCATCCCGTCCCCTTCCTAGGAGCCTTTTGTCTGAGGTGGTTGGGGACCAGGGCGGGGAGGGTGGACTTCAGCCCCCTCCTCACTGTGTTTAGTTCTGTTTCTTTGCAGGCTGGTACACACCCCCAAAGGAAGATGGCTAACCCTGGAGTGTCACCCCTCCCTCCCCAGGCACCACTGGACCAATTACCTATGAATGCTGTATTTGGATCTCACGCTGCCTCTGTGGTTCCCTCCCTCATTTTTCCTGGACGTGATAGCTCTGCCTATTGCAGGACAGTGATGGCTATTCTAAACGCTAAGGAAAAACACACAGAACTGTTTCAGGTCCTCCAGACTGACTCAGACCAGCCAGCCTCCTCGCTGGAACCCTTGCTAGCAGGCATTCTTCTCAAAGACACTCTCAGCCGCCGCCTCTCGCTGGAACCTCAGCTGTGCTCCAGGCTAGAGCCTCCTTACCTATGCTATGGATTTTTAATTTATTTTCTCTTATTTCATGTACACTGCTTTTTTTGGTTACAGTGTATGATGGATGTGTATGGAAAAATGTATCTTTGGGAAAACAATTACAGTTTGTTAATTTGAAGATGCTGGTCTTGACTCATCTTTATTTTTATCCCCACATCCCACCCCACCCCCAGCCCCTGAATACTTGGGAGGTGGGGGAGGGGGCCAAGTCCACTGTTGCTGTGGTGCAGGCTGCATTTGGCTGCTGAAGCAAGAAAAAGGTGGAGCTGAAGCACACGCCCGGCCGCCCCAGACCCTGCCGAAGGCCTCCGGAGCACGCGGCGCTCGCCCCCCAGACAGAGCCGGCCTGCTGAGCCACCACGTGGCAGGGGAAACGGTGACGCGACTCTCACTGCTCTTCAGTCACGGACTTCGCGAACGGGACCGAGGCTGCTGCACGGGACTGCTTCAGATGAACCGAGCGGGGCTGGGGCTCGGCCGCCGAGGGTGCTCTGGGACCTGCGTCTCGGCAGCCGGCTGCGACAGGGCTGCAACTGCAGCGCTTGCTGGGCCCGCCCTCCGGGACGGCGCTCCCTGGTAAGCTCCGCTCACCCTCCTCCTGCCTCGATTCCTTGGTTTTGTGGAAGCAGACGCGTGCGGCTCGGAAGTGAGTCGCCTTCCCCGGAGTCTCGCGGATTCTGTAAGCCTCTCCGCTCGGTGGATCCTGCTGGAAAAGCCTGCCTCGAAGGGGGTTGGCCTGCACTCCGTGTCCTCGCCCTGGGCCTGCAGAATGGCTGGGCGGGAGGCGAGGCCGGGCGCCCGTGCGTGGAAGGGCGTGCCGTGGCGACAGCCTGAGCAGGACTCTGCCCGCGGCTGGTCGGGGAGCTCGCTGTGGGGCCGAGGCTGCCGTGCCCGCAGACAGCCACGGGAAGACCCACGTGGGGCCAGCTGCCTGGGCACAGCGCCCCTGCCTGCTTCTAACATCCCACGGCCTCGCTGCTTCAGGTGGGTGCGGGGTTCAGCCGTCCCACCCCCACCCAGCGCTGCTCCAACTCCACCCGCCTCTGCCTGACGACCAAGGGTGCTAACACGCTGAGGGTGAGGTAAATGGGACACAGGAGGAGCTGCTCCACGGTCTTCCACGCCTGGTGGTTCGCTCCCACGCTCGCTACCGGCCCTGGCGGGCATGTGGACTGTGTTCTTAGCAGTGTGGGCTGTCCTCTGTACAATGTATTTTGTAATGTATTTTTCTCATCTACCAAAGGATGAAACAAATAAAATTATTTAAATAGTTTGGCTCCAGTAAAGTTATTTAAAGAAGTAACGGGGGTTCAGATTCCCGCGTCGGTAGGCACGGCGGCTGTGAGCTGCAGACATCCGGGTTTCGCGGGGCTGCCACTTCCCCAGCCGGGGCTCCCTCTGCTTTCTGTGACCTTACAGCTCTCCACCCAGGAGGCCAAGAGAAGCGGGGCACTATCCCCGGCAGGGTGTGCGGGGCCCACAGCCCACTGGCTTCACGGTGTTACCACAGCAGTTTTAGTGGGCAGGGTAGGGCAGCTAGAGAGAGGAACTGGTCACCCCAGACTCAAGAAACCTAGCAATATTCATTTGCCAAGGCGATGGTTCATTGGTTAAACAGGCTCTACTCGCTTAGAACGGCACGCTGGGGACACCAGACAGGGCCCCCATCCCCAGAGTCTGCTGGGGCGGCTTCTGTCATGCTCTGGGCACAAGGAAGAGATGCAGGGGAAAAAAAGAAAGTAACAAAAACCACACTGGCTGCTGTAGGCTTTCAGGTGAATGGAAGCGTCTTGGCTGTGGGTCCAGCGTCCGTGCCCACAAGACCCAGAGACAAAGGAATGTCTCATGAGAGGTGAGCTTGGAGCGAGGTAAAATGGAAACGGAAAGCCTTGGGCCCAGTCTGGCCTTTTTCACCTCCAGGACTCGGGAGTCAAAGGGGCGCAGGAGGGCAGGGCAGGCCGAGTAGACCTGGGGCACGCGGGAGAGGCCGAATGCCACCTGGAGCCCGTCACTCAAACTCTTCAAACTTGAGGACAGGATTGGAAGGCAAAGAAACACAGTGAAGGAAGGACCGCCCCCAGCGGGTCCACCTGACCCCTTGGGGAACTTCAGCTTGTTCCTCCCAATGCCGGCTGTACACAGGGTTTCCGGCCTGGGCAGGGCACGCAGCAGGCCCTGAGCGTGGCCTGGGGAGGGCAGCCAGGGTATGCATGGCAGGGGTGCTTATCTCCCAGTTCACAGCCCCAGGGACTCTCCCTCTGAGAATCTGATGGACAACCCCGACAGGAACACAGGTCTGCACAGCACAAGCCCAGCACAGCCTCAGTGGCACCTGGTGGGGCAGCAGGAGCGAGGGAGGGGAAGCAGGGCGGGGCCCCAGGTCAAGTGCACTGGCTGCACTCCAGCCCCGCCCAGCCAACTCCAGCCACCTGGAGAAGCACGCACGCCAGCGAGAGCTGGGGCAGCAGGAGAGGAGGGCACGGCGCGAGCGTCACTACCGTGTATAGCAGTTACAGGGTCTGGGAGCTAGTGTTCTCCACTGGCCCGATCTCCTGGGGACAGAAAACTGCTCACCCAGAGCTGCTGTGGGGGAAACGCGGTTACGAAACAGGTGTTCACCAGCTGAGCGAGCATTCTCATGCTGGAACAAGGCGGGGCAGGCATTGGCCGAGCGAGGGTTAAGATGCCAGCTGAGACACCCACGTCCCACAGCGGAGTACAGGGGTTCGGTACCCGACTCTGGCTTCCTGCTGATGCAAACCCTGGGAGGCAGGAACTGGGTTCCTGCCACGCATGTGGGAGACCTGGATTGAGTTTCTGGCTTCCAGCTTCAGACCTGCCCTGGAAGTTGAGGGTGTCTGGGAATTAAGTTGGTAGGTGGGAGAGCTATCACTCAAAAAAAAAAAAAAAAATAATAATAATAAAATCCGCATTTCTCCAGGAGGTCTTCCCTTACTCAACTCATCTTGCCGCACCAGGCCCTGGGGCTGCTCACACACGCAGGACTGGCCCGGTTCAGCATCGGGCCTGGGCGCCGTCCCCAGCAAGGCCACTTACTGCTGTGAGACTGTCTTCACCCTCTAAACTTAGTTTCCCATCTGTAAAGGAAAACCGCACACCTGTCGGACGCCCTCCGGCGGCTCAGGGCCAGGAGGGCTCAGCACGCCCCTGGCACCTCGGGACCGGGCACCATGGCCCTTGTGGCAGGCAGGGCGCTGGCGAGCACAGGAGGCTCCTCCTCTCTGGGCTGCCTTCCCATACCCAGAGCAGTGGGCAGCCTGCAGCCTCTCTTCGTGCAATGACCTGACACGACCTCTGGGTGGCGCTCCCTGACCACTGGGCACAAGCCCTGCCGGCCTCCCAGGGAGCTTGGCCCTGCACCTCAAGGAGACACCTTTCCATCTTACTTCGTGTGTGTATGGGGGGGGGGTTCACCTCTTCTCTTGATCCCCCACAGCATTTTTCACTCCTACATGTCACCTAACCCTGACCAAGAAGGAACAGGGCAGGGAGGGGGCCTCCCCATTTCCAGGACGTGGAGACTGAGGCCCCAACAGGTGTCTGGATCTACACAGGAAGAACACATTGGGAGCAGACCCTGCGTCCAGTGTTCAAACCTCCTAGAGCAGGACCATTTTCCTGTGAAGTCAATTTTTTAAAAAAATAAATATAAATATTTATTTATTTATTTATTTGAAAGTTAGAATTATAGAGAGGGGCAGACATCTTCCATCTGCTTACTTACTCCCTGGTTGGCCATACCAGCCAGGACTGGGCCAGGCTGAAGCCAGGAGCTTCATCTGGGTCTCCCACATGGGTGACAGGGGCCCAAACACTTGGCCATCTTCTGCAGCTTTCCCCAGACCATCAGCAGGGAGCTGGATTGGAAGTGGAGCAGCTAAGACATAAACCAACGCCAGTACAGCATGCCGGCACTGCAGACAGCAGCTTAATCTGCTACGCCACAGCACCAGCCCCGATCCAGTGAAATCTCAAGCAAAACTCAAAGTGATCAGCTAAAAGCTGGGAAGCCTGCCCGGCCCCCACCCAGAGGACTCCATCTTTTGCAGAGCACCTGAGGTCCCTCTCCGAGTCTTGGAGCTCCACAGCCCAGGTGTGAAAGCCAAAACATGCAGCAGCTTTGCTAGAGGCAGATGCTGCAGACTGAGGTTAGAGCCACCCAACGGAACAGGAAGAGAATCCCCAGGGCCTCAGCCGCCCACGGCCCCAACCCGGCCGTGGTCCCAGAGGAGGGAGCGGGGTGCGAGACGCCTCACTTTTCTCCAGCTTGAACGGCTGAGCCGGAGGGGGGATGGCCCAGAAGGTGTCGCTGTCCAGGCTGCGCAGTGAATGCACAGGGATGGTGGGCAGCTGGCCAAAATCGACGGACATGACCGCAGCCCAGGTGTCCACCCTGTCCAGTATCCAGCACCTGGCCGGAGGCAAGGAGGGCAAGAGGTGAGGGCTGTCCTGCCCCATGCCACGCACACAGCCTTCAGCAAAGCGGTGTGGAGGGGAGGCTGGGAGGCGGGCAGCTAGTTTGCTCCACCTCTGCCCTCCTTGGGCAGGGAGGTGATCCTAGGCAGAGATGAGCCGGAGGGAAGAACCTAGAGCCAGAGGAGGAGAAGTGAGGGGTGCGGAGTGGCTCTTCCGGCAGGCTCTCCCATGCCCTCCAACCTGTCCCAGGCATAGCTGCGGTCGCCTAGGCGGTTCTCAGTGAGACAGCAGGTCCCCCGCGGCAGGGTGGATGCACCAGGTAGGGCTGCTGCTCCTCGGCCCTGGCCAGGGTGCTGCACAGCATCTGCATGTTCTGGTGCAGGCTCACCCTGGCGGCCACCCTGGGCTCACTGGCCCTCGTTACCACACTTGCTGCAGGAAGGTTCCCACAGAAGCCCAAGAGGGCCACCGGCCAGCCCGTACCTCAGTGACGTGCGTGGCGGGACACCACCAGTCGGCAGCAGCCCGACGGGCCCGTGAACATGGCAGATGAGGGCCAGCCAGTGCAGGTCCTGGAAGCATCCCCTCAGCAGCACGGGGAAGGAGCTCCTGGGTGGGGGGTGAGGGGGCCAAGGGCAAGGAGGGGAACAGGGAAGCAGGTGCATGAGGAGGGAAGGGGACTAACACCTGCCCTGTGGATGCTGGGCGGGCGGGGATGGGTCACCCTCTGCAGGAGGCAGGGGCAGACAAGCACCCAAGGCACCATGATACAGAGGGGAGGAGTGGCGGTGCAGTGGGCACAGGGGCTGGTGGGCTGGGGAGGGGGAGCAGCTGGCAGCTCTGCACAGACAGGCTGATGCCCTGGCTGGGTGGGCGTGCAGCCTGCCACAGGGACTCACGGACCTCTGCTGTCCACCAGGCAGGACATGCAATGAGCCCAGAGCCCCTCCCTGCGTCCACGCCCTGCCAGCACTGCCCCTACTCCTGCCCCAGTCACCTGCGGCCATGAAGGCCACAGCCATGAGAGGCCACACAAGACCCGCAGGGGCCGCAGCATGTCCAGCCCAGCAGGCGACCCGGCCTCTCCCTGGCATGAGGACTGGGGTCCGGGGCCAGGTACAGCAGCTGCTAGGGGCCTTTGGCCTGGTGGCCTTTCTGTACCGTGCTCACCTCATTTCCATGGGAACTGCCAAGAAGGCTGCCCTCAGCCTCTCTGTCTCACAGGGCTCGACGCAAGCCACAGGAGCGAGCTGTGCACACACCGGAAGGCAGAAGGTGAAGTCCTGGAGGGAGCGCACGGCTCTTGTCCCCTCCCCCCCACCCGCCCTGCCCCGGCCTTGGCCCGGCCCACCACGTGGGGAAGGCGGGCCGGAGGACATCCTCTGAGAAAGCATCTTGGGGCAAGAAGGGGAAGGAGTGCTTCCTACACATGGGGGGTGGGGAGGGCATGCGGCTGTGGGGAGCTGGGGCCCCGCGCGGGCTGGGGGCTGTGAAGGGGGGGTCTCGGAGCGGATGGCAGCTCAGGACCTCACCAGCAGCGGCTTTGCAAGCTCCTCCCCAGAGAAAAAGAAAAGACAGCCCTCAGTGTCTTAATAGCTCTGAGACCGGAGACAGCAGCACTGGCCCCTGTGCCAACACAGGCGTCAACCCAAAGACAAGGCTCTCAGAAAGTGGGACGGGGCCGGCGGCGGGGCCGGGGGGGAAGCCGCTGCTCGGGACACTGGCCTCCCACACCAGAGTGCTGGTTCGAGTGCCAGCTGCTCTGCCTCTGATCCAGCTGCCTGCTAATGTGCCTGGGAGAACAGACGATGATGGCCCAACTGCTTGGGTCTTTACCACCCACGTGGGGGACCCGGGTGGAATTCTTGGCTCCTGGCTTCAGCCTGGCCCAGCCCTGGCTGTTGCTGCCATTTGGGGAGTGAACCAGCAGATGGAAGATCCCTCTCTGTCTCCCTCTCTGTTGCTCTTTCAAATAAATAAATCTTAAAAAAAAAAAAAGAAGAAAGGAAGGGTAGGTAGGGAGGCTGCTGCCAGGCCATGCTCCATGGGGTGGGGCCTACGTTCCCAGATGAGCTGGAGGTGGAGCGAGGCACGGCCAGCACTGCCTCCCTTGGGCAGGACCCTGTGGACAGCTCTTGGGGGAAAGAGAAGAGACGGGGGAGGATGGCGGTGCTGGGAGGAGGCGGGAGGAGGGCTAAAGGTGTCTTGCCACTGGTACAACCACGCAGCACCAACCCATGCTGGCTCCCCACCCCCTGCCCCCATCATCCTCACCTGCAAATCTCCCAACCCTAGAAATACGCAAGGACCTGCCCCCCACTCTCTGCCGTGTGTATAGCCACTGCGCAGGAGCACTCGGCACCACAATCCCCCGCAGGCCCTGGGAAGCCCACTGCTCGCCCGTGCCCACTCAGTGCGGCTGCCTCTTCATCACCGGACACAGGGGTGGTCAGACAGGCAATCCCCACGTCACAGCTCGCCCTCCCCACCTCCCTGCAGGCCCCGCCTCCTCCCCCACCGTCCCCCTCCCGTGGGGACCTTTCCCCTATGGACGAACGAAGACCCTGACTTGACCCCACATCTGCTCTGCTCACTTCACACAGGCACAGTCAGGAGCGCTGGCTGCTTCCACACCGTCCCCTCCGCTCAGGCGTCCTGCGAGCTGCCAGGGCTGGTGGCTCCTCTCGGGCCCCTGGCTGCTGGTAATGTTCTACCCACTCCCTCTTCCCTGCCTCCCGGTGGCCCCGGCTGGTTTTCCCTCCTCTCCCAGCTCGGCCACTGGAGGCTGGCACATCCCAGGCCTGGGCGCGTCCCCACAGCCATGTCCAAGGCTGCCTCCTGTTCCAGAGTTTCCTGTGCCAGGGGCACACCACGGACGCTCCAAGGCGGCTCTCCAGCCCCGCCCCTCTCTGGGATCCTGCCCAGATGTGGAGCTGCCACCTGACAGACAGCTGGGAGGCCCACACACAGTGTGCCCAGCACAGACCCTCCCCAGGCTGCGTCAGCCTGGCTTTCTCAATGGCATCACAATGGACAAGGTGGTTCTGGCCAAACTCATTTGTCCCCACTCCCCACAGCACACAGATCAGCACCCAGTTCCTCCAAACACACCGAAGCCCTGTGTTCCCCTCTTGCCACTCCTGCCAGACACTGCCACCTCCTACCAGCCGTCAGCAATGGCCTCCAGGATGCTCCCGGCTGCCACGCTCGCCCCACAACCCAACGGCCTGCAGGCAATGCCACTTTTTGTTTTCTGTTTTAAGATTTATTTACTTGAAAGGGAGAATTACAGAGACTGAGGGAAAGGTAGAGAGAGAGAGACATCTTCTATCTGCTGGTTAACTCCCTCAAATGGCCACGAAGGCAGGGGCTGAACCAGGTCAAAGCCAGGAGCCAGGAGCTCCATCTGGTGTCCCACGTGGGTACAGGGACCCTAGCACTTGGCCATGTTCCCTGCCCTCCCTGGCACCGCAGCAGGGAGCTGGATCGGCAGCGGAGCAGCCGGGACTCAAACCAGCGCTCATATAGGACACTGGCATCGCACACAGCAGCTTAACCTGCTGAGCCACAAGGCCAGCCCTGCAACGCCGTTTTTTAAAAGTTGTTGTGTGGATTTTTTTCCTAAAGACTTATTTGTTTTATTTATTTATTTATTTATTTGAAAGGTAGAGTTACAGAGAGGCAGAGGCAGAGAGAGAGAGAGAGAGAGAGAGAGAGATCTTCCATCCACTGATTCATTCCCCAAATGACCACAACAGCCAGAGCCTGAAGCTTCCTCCGAGTCTCCCACATGAGTGCAGGGGCCCAAGTACTGGGGCATCTTCTGCAGCTTTCCCAGGTCATAGCAGAGAGTTGGATCAGAAATGGAACAGCTGGGACTCGAACCGGTGCGCATATGGGTTGCTGGCACTGCAGACCAGGGCTTTAACCTGCTACACCACAGCACTGACCTCACTACCCCATGTTTTACAAATGGAAATCAGATCCCATTACACCAGTACCAGAATCGCCTGTGTCTTCCCACTGTGCTCACATCAGATCTCCCAGTCTGCACTGGGCCTGCCAGGGCCACTGCCCTGCCCCTCCTTCCCGCGCTCCCTCCCCCAGGCTCACCTCCTGCCACTGACAGGCCTCCTCCCTCTGTCTAGATTGCTCTGGCCTTCCTAGCTGGTGCGGACCCAACTGCCCACCCAGGGGCCACCCTCAGAAGCACCCGCAGCATGCAGGTTCCACCCATCTTATTTTAGCTCTGATACCTGTTACCAGCTTTTTTTTTTTTTTTTAAGATTTATTTACTTTACTTGAAAGTCACAGTTACACACAAAGAGAAGGAGAGGCAGAGAGAGAGAGAGAGAGAGAGAGAGAGAGAGAGAGAGAGGTCTTCCATCCGCTGGTTCACCTTCCAGATGGCCACAACAGCCGGAGCTGTGCCAATCCGAAGCCAGGAGCCAGGAGCTTCTTCCAGGTCTCCCACGCAGGTGCAGGGGCCCAAGGCTTTGGGCCACCTTCTACTGCTTTCCCAGGCCATAGCAGAGAGCTGGATCGGAAGTGGAGCAGCCGGGATCTGAACCGGCGCCCATATGGGATGCTGGCACTGCAGGTGGCGGCTTTACCCGCTGTGCCACAGCGCCGGCCCCTCTGACACCAGCTTTTCCTGCCTTCCCACCGGAACAGAAGCTTCTCAAGAACAGAATCACAATCACACTCCCCTGCCAGCAATGACCTTGAATGCTGACAGCACCAGGCCTGGAGAAAGCCTGGCACAGGACGCGCTCAGTGAAGACAAGGAAGACACAGATGACTAAAAAAAAAACCTACATGGGGGATTGTATAACTTTTTGCAAGAAAGCAAACTTACGTTTCATCTCCGTTCTCCAGGAACTTTCTGAAGTACCCTCATGCGGGCGGGGGATGAAGAAAGTCAACACAAAAGGAGCTGGGGCGGGTTCTCGGCTCTCTCGGCCGTGCCTTCCTCTTCTGTTCTCTACTGCACCTGCCTGGATGTGACGCTCTGCTTGGGCTGGCAGCAGGCACTTGAGCCCTGCAGCAGGATAGCAGAGCGGCCAAGAGTGGGGGTTCTAGGGCCTGCCTGGGCGCCAGGCCTGGTTCTAGGACCGACTGGCTGCTTAACTCGGGGTGAGCCCCTTGGTGTCTGCACTGGCAGAACAGGAGGGTCACGGCGCCCACTTCCCTGCACTAACGCACCCTCCTCCAGCTGAGCGTGGAAGGGGCCTTTAATTTAGAATTTCATTCTGAATCCCAACCCCAAGAACCAATTCACAGATAAAAGATGGTTATTAGCTCAGAAACATTTTAAATCATTTTGGGCTTAATTGTTATTCTCATGATTTAAGAGATACACATGACAAGCCCAATTTTGACAGTGTGTGAAATTAAGTTTCAGAGGACAAGCGACATAATTATCATCCAGTCAGCACAGCAGGCACACCCCCAGAAACAGGATGCTGGGAACGCACTGTGGCCACGTGGAAGCCACAGAGAGCAAGGCAGCCTCGCCGCAGCTGCCACCCAGCTGATTCCAATGCAGTCCCACGGCCGTGACCGTGCAGGAACCAGCCCAGACCTGTCAACAGCTGGGATTCTCCCTTCCCTGAGCTCTGGGACATTCCTACCAGCTGGCCCGCTGTGCCAAGAGCTCCAGCTGCTCCAGAATTAGCTGGTGGGTCTAGACAGCGAGGGCTGGGGTGGGGGTGGGGGAGGGAGGTGCCCCCACACGCACACCAGGCCCTGACCCTACTCACAGCACCCCCAGGGCGGGAGCCGCTGCCCAGCCCGCAGCCTCGTGTCTGCTCACTGCTGCCCTCCAGATGGCTGCTGGCCCCCTGGGCCGTGTCTCCTCATGGTCCCCATCTCTGCCTGGGGAACTACACTTGGGGTCCCTAAGGGGTGCATACAACTGGGGTACCTAAGAAGTGCATTGTTTTTAAAGGGTATATTTAGGGGCCAGCACTGTGGCATAGTGGGTTAAGCCTCCACCTGCAGCACCAGCATCCCATATGGGCGCTGGTTTGAGTCCTGGCTGCTCCACTTCTGATCCAACTCTCCACTATAGCCTGGGAAAGCAGTAGAAGATGGCCCAAGTCTTTGGGCTCCTGCACCCACATGGGAGACCCAGAAGATGCTCCTGACTCCTGGCTTCAGATCATCACAGCTCTGCCTGTTGCGGCCATCTGGGGAGTGAACCAGCGGATGGAAGACCTCTCTCTTTTTCTCTCTGCCTCTGCCTCTCTGTAACTCTGCCTTTCAAATAAAATAAATAAATCTTTAAAAAAAGTAAAATAAAATAAGTGGAAAAGGAAGAAGTACATAATTTTAAAAAATAAAGATATATTTATTTATTTGAAAGACAGAGATACAGAGAGGCAGAGGCAGAGAGACAGAAGTCTTCCATCCGCTGGTTCACTGCCCAGATGGCCGCAACGACTGAAACTGCGCTGATCCAAAGCCAGGAGCCAGGTTCCAGGAGCCTTCTCCAGGTTTCCCATATGGGTGCAGGGGCCCAAGCACTTGGGCCATCTCTACTGCTTTCCCAGGCCACAGCAGAGAGCTGGATCAGAAGTGGAGTAGCCAGGACCAGAACCGGCGCCCATATGGGATGCCAGCACCGCAGGCCGATGATTAACCCACTGCACCACTGCGCCGGCCCCTCAATCGACTTCTTTAATCAACTCATAGTTCATTCCTTTTCAATTTTCCTTCTTTGCTCGTTTAAGATTGAACTAAGTATTACTTTCACTGTGTCCCAAACTTCTCATTGGTAATATTTTCTTTTTTTGCTCAGTTCTGAGTATTTTTAAATATCTGTTAGGATTTCTTCTTTGACCCACGTGTTGTTTACCTAGGAATGTGTTTTTAGGTTTCCAAATGTGGTGCTGGTGTTGTGGCACAGTGAGTTAAACTGCTGCCAGCAATGCCAGACTCGCATACCAGAGTGCCAGTTCAAGTCCTGGCTGCTCGGTTTCCAATACAGCTCCCTGCTAATGCTCCTGGGAAAACAGCATAAGATGGCCCAAATGCATGGGCCCCTGCACCCATGTGGGAGCCCTGGATGGAATTCCTGGCTCCTGGCAACAGCCTGGCTCAGCCCTGACTGTTGTGGGTGTTTGGGCAATGAACCAGTGAACGGAAGCTCTCTCTCACTCTGTCTCTGTCACTCTGCCTTTCAAATAAATAAAATAATTAAAAAAAAAAAAAAAACTTCCCAGTGTATGGGAATTGTGTGTCCTGGTTACTCAAGCCAGTGTTAATAGCACTGTTACTGCTCCCCCCTCCCCTCTGCCCGCCCCCTATAAGAGACAGCAAGTGAGACCCACAGGTCCCTCTCAGTTCCCCGTCCTGGGAGCACAGGACGAAACTCACCCTCAACAACTGCGGGACAGAGGAATGCACTAACCGTTTCCAGCACCGCAGTGGCGGATGACAGAGGACAAGGCCAGAGAAAAGGGAGGCCCAGAAGCCTCCCCACCCCCCACCCCGGCCCATCTTCCACTGTTTTCCCAGGCCATAGCAGGGAGCTGAACTGGAAGTGAAGCAGCCGGGACTCAAACCAGTGCCCACACGGGATGCCGGCACTGCAGGTGGCAGCGGCTTTACCCGCTACAACACAGCGCCAGCCCCTGGTGAAGATCTTAAAGGCTGTCTTATCCAACCCCGGCTCCTGCCACCTCCACTGTGAGACTGGATGGAGGAGGGGAGACCCAGGAAGCAGCCAGGACATGGGCCAGCTGGCCGCTGGGGGCGGGGGGGCCGCTCCGCCCAGTCAGGGCTCCTCCTGGGGGTCTCCTGCTGGAATTCAGTCTCTGCTTGTGGAAGAGCTTGCTGTTCAGCTCCTGGATCCCGAGGGCCACCGCCTGCACCGAGCCCAGGCTGACAAACGCAAAGCTGTGAAGCAAGGCAGAGAGGGTGCCCGGGCCCCGGGCTTCTTCCATGCAGGAGCTGCCACGCTGGCCGCACAAGCTGGCCAAGAGGGTGGCAGACTTGGGCCCCGGCTCGGGCAACGTGAGGGACCACGCGAAGCAGAGAGAGGACGTGACCAGAAAAACACCAAGGTCCTGGGGCCAGTGAGCCAGGGCTGTACTGACGAGCCAGCAGCAGTGCTGAGCCGGGGACTGTGAACATGGGCAGTGGTGGCCAGGGTGTCACTCTGCACAGCACCCTGGGCGCAGCCTGGGGCACCGCAGGCCGGGCTGCAACATCAGGGCATGGGGCAAAGCGGAGAGCGAGGAGAGGAAGCGCTTCCCAAAGCAAACCAGGCACACGGGCCGCTGCCGCCTGCAGCCGTTCCGTGTCTGTGCACACGCACAGGGCTGTAGTCCCGCGGGAGACAGAAAGCGAGTGAAAGACAAGGACACCCTGAGGCACCACGTACAGCCCGTTCTCCAGGTTTCAGATCCCCAGCCAGGCCACCTGCACCCATTCAACACCTACTTAACGAAAATCCATGATGTGCTGTGGGTGCCAGGTTTTGTGCTAAGCGCTGCAAATGCAGACACACAAGACAGACTTCCATGACGCTCCACGGTCGAGAGAGAGGTACAGAGAAGTCGTCAGAGTACTGAACATTTCATCACAGGGTGATAATTCCCCAAAAAGGAAGCATGGGTGGCTACAGGGGCACATGCCGTGGGTATTTAACCCAGATTCAGAGGTGGTCAGGGCCGGCTCCCAGGAGGAGGTGACTTCTACTGCTTCTCAACTGTTGGGATAGGGCCACAGTCCCCCATAGCCCCAGGCTGCTTCCCTCTCCAGTGAACCCTGGCCCCATTCCCTCCCAGCCTGCCCCTCCCCTACTCTGAGATAAAGTCTACACTGCCCTCACACACTCCTGAACTACACCCTAGTTTTCTCTTTTCTGCCGAACTTGTAGAAAGAGCTGCCTGATGCCTCCATGTCCTCCAGCCCTCTCCCTCCTGACTCGGTCGTGCCCTACGGATTCTGCTTTCCCGAGGGCCAGATAGCGCCCAGCGCCCACCAGGGGCTTCAGCCTCGGCTCTCAGCTCCCCCTGAGCCCCGCCGCTCCACCAGGGCTGTGCCATACCCAGATTTCCTAAAACAAAAGAAAATTGAATCTTCCCCAAAAAAACTATTTTGGAAAACAAACAAACAAAACGTGTATTTACACAATCTTTTAACAGCAACTTTTTTTTTTTTTTTTTTTTTTTTGGACAGGCAGAGTTAGACAGTGAGAGAGAGACAGAGAGAAAGGTCTTCCTTTTTCTGTTGGTTCACTGCCCAAATGGCTGCTACGGCCGGCGCACCACACTGGTCAGAAGGCAGGAACCAGGTGCTTCTTCTGGTCTCCCATGGGGTGCAGGACCCAAGCACTTGGGCCATCCTCCACTGCCTTCCTGGGCCACAGCAGAGAGCTGGACTGGAAGAGGAGCAACCAGGACAGAACCGGCAGCCCAACCGGGACTAGAACCCGGGGTGCCGGCGCCGCAGGTGGAGGATTAGCCTAGTGAGCCGCGGCGCCGGCCTTAACAGCAACTCTTACGAATCTCGAGTCACTTTGCTGGCTGAAGAAAAGAGAAATGCATTCCGTAGAACTCGCTCTTCTCCGTCTCCCGTGTTTATACTACATTTAAATGCGAGTTTCCCAGCTTGCTTCGCTCTTCCACATTTAATGTTTTTACACATGGCTCTCCAAGATGCTGAGCTCCCAGCCGTTTGCGAGCACAAGCAGTGCGTGCTTAGCATTTCAGTTACGAAGCTCTTCCACAAGCCTCGTCCCACCCAGTCTCTCTGCCCACCCTGGGGGGCGCTGTTACCACCACCCTCACCTCACAGTGGCGCAAGGGAAAGACCACAGAGGTAAACCAACTCCCCCAAGACTGCACAGCCAGTTAAGAATCAGGAGCTGGGGCCAGCGCTGTGGCGTAGTAGGTTAATCCTCTGCCTGCAGGGTTGGCATCCCATGTGGGTGCCAGTTCTAGTCCTGGCTGCTCCACTTCCAGTCCAGCTCTCTGCTCCTGGGAAAGCAGCAGAAGATGGCCTAAGTGCTTGGGCCCCTGCACTCACGTGGGAGACCCGGAAGAAGCTCCTGGCTCCTGGCTTTGGCCTGGTTCAGTCCAGGTCATTGTGGCCATTTAGGAAGGTGAACCAGTGAATGGAAGATCTCTCTCTCTCTCTCTCTCTCTCTCTCTCTCTCCCCTCTCTCTCTGTAACTCTGCTTTCAGATCAATAAAGAAATCTTAAAAAAAAAAAAGTTAGGAGTTGAAAGCAAGGCTTCTAACTTCAAATCCTACCTTCTTTCCATTTATCGTGCCAAACTGCAGCTTTCCTTTCCGGTGTCACCATTACTAGAAGAGGAAACTGCTATTTTGTATCTTTTGTAGCTGGCATCAGGAAACTGAAGCTCTAGGCCAAACCCAGCCCGCCACTTTTTGTCAATAAAGTTTTATTGAAACACAGCCATGTACACTCACTGACTTACTGTGCACAGCTGCCTCCATGCTGCCTCAGAGGGCCGAGTGTTTGCCATGGACACAGATGGGCCTTCAAACGCAGAAGCCATGAACTTGCTGATCCTTTACAGAAAACGTTTGTCAACGTTTTCTCTACAGCAATGGTTCTGAGAGCTGACTGCAGATGAGATTCCACTTGGAGTTATCCTTTCCTCCCTCCCTCGCTCCCTTCCTTTATTTTACTACCAGTGCAATGCCTAGCCCACCCCAGATAAACAAAATTGCTGGGTTTCTGACTGGAGCGTGCATATTTCTTAAAAGCACCCCAGACGATTTTAATCTGCAACCAAGGTCAAAAACCGTTCTGAGCCATCAGGTGATTCAGGAAGCTCTGCTTTTCAGAAACTGCTTGCGGGCGGGAGGAGAGGACCCCTCCCCCACCCCCATGGAACTTCAATCCGTGTGTCCTGAGGCCACTGCACCGGCACAGGCTGCTGCTGCCACGACACCGACACCGATGATCGGGAATTCCTAGAATCCGAAGGCATGCCCTCACTGGGGCTTTTTTCTTCTTCCTCTCCATGGCTGCATCTGCTTATTTTAAAATGTGTTGATGGATCACAGATTTGAAGAAGCCCTGGTATAGTAAGCTAAAATTGCCTCCCGTCCCTTTGGGACTCCTTTATAGATAGCTATTTTAAATAATGAAAATAACTTATTAGGATTTTTTAATTATAAAAACATTAAGTGTTTGTTGGAGAAATATTTAAAAACCACAGATAAGCAAAACAGAAATATCAGCAGTGACCCCCCACACACACACACACACTGCTGGCCCCTGTGGAGGTCACGGGTCGGTGGTGCTCTCTGCTTCCTGACGGTTTCACTCCCCGGCACGTCCCTCTCAGGCCACCGTCTGCAGCCACTTCGCCGAAGGGCTCCACAGCGGTACTAACCACGGCCCCAGCACAGACAGGCGCTCACTGCGGTCCCCCATGCGCTAAGAACCAGGAGGGCAGCGACGTGGCACCGGACACCAGGCAGCGCACAGAGGAAGTGCAAGTCAGGCTGTGTGAACTGTGGGGCCCTGGCGTCCCACACCCAGAGACGCTCCACACGCGTGCGCACACGCACACGTGCCAGCCGCTTCACCAAAGCCCTGCTAGGGGCAGTGAACGCTGAGAAAATATTAGTGTGAACCATGACGTGGGAAATGGGGGTGTTAGCAGGTTCACGATGGTCCAATACAAACCATTCCAGATAGTGCGATTTAAGCTTCGGGGTGACTACCGGCCGGTAAACAGGCTGTGGTAGACTCCTACAGAGAAGTGCTGCTACTGACGACAGCTGCCAGTGCCGACGTGGGCACATCTCTAAAATACGTGGAATGACAAAAGTCAGAGAAAAACACACGGAGAACAGGAAGGGACCGAGCGCTCCCTGCCATTCATCCCCACACCTGTCATTGCCAAGGACCACTCGCCCCGCACGCCGACCCAGTCCCATCTCCCTGCTCATCCTCTCCAGGGCTGGGGTCCTCAGACCCTGCCCCCCTCCCTCTCCTGCAACTCAGCCCCTCCCATGCATCCTGTCCCACTCCCACCTGCAGTGTCCTTGCTGAGACACCAGGGTCCCCCACTGCACTGCGCCAAGCGCCTGTGGCATTCCTACTCCCTATTCCTCGTCAGCAGCACCCCCACCCCCCAGAAGCACTGCACAGGCCTGCCACGCCCTCTTCCTACTCTGCGGATAGGATAGCCGTGGCTCTACTCACAGCGATGAGAAGCAACCAAAGGGGAACCCCCAGCCCTCCCCGCGTCTGGACCGCTGTGCCTCGCACCGATGCCTGCTGCCCGCCTTCTCAAGCCTCTGGGCCCTGCACACACACCAGCTGTAATTCCTCCGTCTCAACACTCACGCGCACGGCGCGCCCTGGCCCTCACAGCCCCTCCTGCTGCCATCCTTGATTATTAAAGCCCTTGAAGAAGCCCCCCCGTGCGCACCGGCTCTACTTCTCATTCCTGCACTCAGCAGGATTTATGAAGCGCCAGCTCTGCTAGAGATGGTTTCGGTGCAGCAGAGTAGACGGTGGAGTGTTCTGAACCGACTGTGGTGTGGCCTGAGGAAGATCCAGAATCACAAATAAAGCCGGGGCCGGCTCTGTGGCGCCGGCATCCCATATGGGCGCCAGTTTGAGACCCGGCTGCTCCACCTCTGATCCAGCTCTCTGCTGTGGCCTGGGAAAGCAGTAGAAGATGGCCCAAGTCCTTGGGCCCCTGCACCCACGTGGGAGAGCCAGAAGAGGCTCCTGGCTCCTGGCTTCGGATCAGCACAGCTCCAGCCATTGTGGCCATCTGGGGAGTGAACCATCAAATGGAAGACCTTTTTCTCTCTCTCCCTCTCTCTCTCTCTCTGCCTCTCCTCTCTCTGTGTAACTCTGACTTGCAAATAAATAAATAAATAAATCTTAAAAAAAAAATAAAGCCAACTGCTATCAGCCAAAAAGGAGAGAGAGAACAGACAGACCCCCCTGTGTCCCGTGCTCATCTTCTCTGGAGTAGATAAATCGTGGGGAGGAGGAGTAAGTGATGTGCGTGGTGAGTGTGACCGTGGCAAGTGGGAGAGAGACATGAGCCAGAGAGCATAAGACGAGGGGACGCTGCGATCTAGGGAGAAGGGCCAGGGAGGGCCCTGCGAGGGTGACCCTGGGAGCAGAGGAGGCTCAGCCGCAGGAATAGCAGGTGCAAAGGCCCTAAGGCCGGCTGGAGGCTTAGCAAGGATATACGGGCTCGGCTGCAGGGGCCTGAGCAGGTAAGGATGTGTGGGGGAGGGGAGCAGCTCACATCTGGCCTTACTGGGTTGCAGGGGGATGGGGGGGTGCTCTGAGCACTGAGACTCCCAAGTGAAGGGGCACCAAGACCTGCTGACCATCCCTCAGGCTCGCTCCCGCCGCTGTGTGGGGACTGAAGAGGAACAGGTAGAGGGGGATAAGCTAAGAGGCCCCTGCCGTCTTCCAGCGAGACTCCACGGTGGCTGGGATAGGATGTGCTCAGATTTGGACATAGCTGCCTTTCTGTCATTAAAAACAAACCAAAAAAACCCAAAGATACATAGAAGTAGAGTACAATGAGCCCTCTAAACCCATCCCGAGCCTCAACCACCACTACTGCTGTGCCGTAACTGGTGCATTTTTCTGTCCCCAGGTACTGTACCGCTTTACAGGGTGCCTTCTTACACAGACACGGTGCCATCAGCAAAGTAAGAAAGCTAACAAAA